TTCCACATGTGGGGAGACCACCAAGTCTGAGGTCACTTGTTGAAGCTTTTCCGTTCCTGAACGATAGGAGCAGGCAGGTTACGGTCAGCCTCCCAATTCCTGACTTAGGGATGCATGGAGAACCAATATCTGTTATGGTCATCAGAGTTTAAACAGCTTCCCTCAGTGAGTTGGGTTGACCAAGCATTGATAATGTGTCAGAAGAAGACTATTAATAAATCTTTCTGCAAAAAAAAGAACCGTCTGGAGTGCGTTTTTCCAGTTCAGGAAAAGGTGGCTGAATTTTCTCTGAAAGGGTAACACGGCTAGGAATGAAATGTTATTTGTTGGAAATGGATCAGAGCCATCCTGGGTCTTTTAAACAACCAGGGATTGGTGCTTTCAGCTCGTAGCATCTCAAAACTGGTGAACTTCGGACTCGGGGACTGGAAAAAATCTCCGATACTTGGGAGCTGAGACAAAAATGGACTCATCCCCGCAGCATGGAAGCTTTTAAGCCAGCAGTCCGCCAAAGACGGCATAGACAGGCTCAATGGTTGGGGTGTCAACGTTTCCCTCTTCGCAACCCAGTCCCCAAACTGGCCTCGTGGTGTATCTGATGCAGCTGGATGCAAACAGGGCTGCTAAGATACAAACGTGAGGCTAAGCCATCATTTGGCTGAAAAAACCAACAACGCTTTGTCTAGCTGGGAGATTAAATCCTTGTGGTTTATTGACTTATTCCTCGGCCCGGTGTTTTGTTTTTGGTGGTTTGAGACGGTGCGGTCCCTGTTCGCAAAGGTCCAGGTAAAAAACAAAAAAATCAGCTTTAGTCCAGCAGCCCATTTAGGAAGGTGGGACAGCCAGGTGAGTCTTCGTGTCCTAGCTTTGATGATTTGACCGTTTCCAGGCTCAGCTAATTTGGGGGATTTAAGGAAACAGGAGTCCAGCGCCCGTTCTATCCTGCGTTGTCGCCAACAAAACCACCCGGAGGGTTACCCGCAAATTCCTACAAAAGCCGCCTGCATTTTCGCCACCCGAATTAACGGTAGATCCCTGGCCTCTTGGCAGAAGGCGGCAAAATTTTGGGGCAGCGTGATTCTCCTGGGCTCCAGGTTATTTTAAACCAGCTTTGGATTCGGGAAACAATCATTTTAAGACGCAGACTAGGTTACGTGGAGCAGAGGCCCCAGAAATTCTGGCTGTCGGGGCTCCGAAGGGCCTAAGAGGGACATGGAAATGTATGCAAAAGAATCAGTTTTGGCTACTTCTGCAAAGGGACAGACGGAAGAAACCCCTTCTGAAGCGAAGGAGAAAAATTTCCGTAGCCATCGATTACACCCAAGGAAGACCATGGCGTTTGGGCACTTTTTTCCACTTCTCTGCTGTTGTTGCCAGCACACCTGTTTTCTGTTTGGCAAGAGATTACATCCTGGGGGGGGGTCTCTTCTCCCTCCATGCAGAAGCGAAGGGCATCTCTTCCCCCGCGGTACCCCCAGGTGCCCGTCTGTAAACAGTAAGTACCCAAGGGAAGAAAGGTTGAGGACGTCATTTGTGGAGACTGCAGAAATGGCCATCTGAAAAGCAGGGGGGGCTCTGCTCAACTGGGGCACTGGCCATGCCCAAATCTTGCCATCCTCCTGGAAAGGTGCCATTCTGCATCATTACAGAATGGGGCGGGCCTGGAACTGATTCATGGTTAAGGCTTGGGTTAGGAAAGGAGACAAACTGGGCCACAATCTTGCTCAAGGTTTACTCAGCCTCAAGTTTCCTCGTCTGTGTTACAGGGCGGGGGTGATTTAAATGTGCTGTCTTCCTGCTCCGGCCACTGTCGGGGATCTTTCCAAAAGGGATCTGTCCGTGTTTTAACCCCTCCCTTGGGGAGGGCTCTCAAGGGGGTCCCTTCCCTACGAGTGACGGGCCACAATGGATTTGCAACTCCTTCCAGGAATGCTCTAGGAACGGGTCGCCCCTCAACATCTTGTGGCTTCCACGGTTTTAGGGCGCTGCTCTTTTCGTGTCACGCGGTGATATAAAAGTACAATTTTCGGTGCCGGCTGCTGTCGTCATTTTGGAAATGGGTAAGGAAGGGGCATAGAGGTAACTCACTTGGAGAAAGTAAATAAGGAAGAAAGGTCTTTTTTTCTAATCTTATGAGATGATGATTAATAATAATAATAATAATAATAATAATAATAATAATAATAATAATAATAATAATATAAGGTTGGAAGGGACCTTGGAGGTCATCTAGTCCAACCCCCTGCTCAGGCAGGAAACCCTACACCATTTCAGACAAATGGCTGTCCAGTCTCTTCTTAAAAACTTCCAGTGTTGGCGCATTCACCGCTTCTGGAGGCAGGTTGTTCCACTGGTTAATTGTTCTCACTGTCAGGAAGTTTCTCCTTAGTTCCAGGTTGCTTCTCTCCTTGACTCCTTGGCTGAAAGGTTTAAAAAAGGGGGGACTGTGGTCCTCCCAGTGTGTTCTTCGGATACAAAAATGCTACAAACTGAGAATAGTTGCTGGTTTGACCAGAGAACCAAACTCCCACCACGGCCGTCACGCTCCCATGGCTGATTTTGGAGGGGACGGGATGATGGGGGCAGAAAGCCTTTTGGTGACACCCACTGTCCCTTTTTTTCTGCCTCTCCCACCTTTCACAGGGACACGCTGAGGATGGCCGGCCCCAGATACTTCCAAGCCATGCGGTTTGCGGTGGAGGAGATCAGTAACTCCACCAGCCTTTTGCCCGGGATCCTGCAGGGCTACGAAATGATGGACATCTGCTACCTCACCCACCCCGTCCACCCCATCCTGTGTTTCCTCGCGGACAACTGCTCAGCGATCCAAATCCAGAGGAATTACACTTCGTCCTATCCGGGAGTGCTCTCCGTCATCGGTCCAGATTCGTCCCCGACAGCCATCAGGGTGGCTTGGGTTCTGAGTCACGTTCTTATCCCGCAGGTGAGCCATTGATTCCCTCCAGGAAAAGCAGGAGAAGGTCTGCCAGGTTCATCGCAGGTATTTTTTTAACAGGATAAAATAATCACTGTGGCATATTAATCCCCAAATGAAAATTGGAAGCACAATATGGCACAAATTAAGTGGCTTAAGCTAACAGGCTAATAATATGAGTGCTGGAGAGGAAGGAAGGAAGGAAGGAAGGAAGGAAGGAAGGAAGGAAAGGAAGGAAGGAAGGAAGGAAGGAAGGGAGATAGGGGAAGGATGGAAGGAAGGAAGGAAGATATGAGGGGAAGGAAGGGAGGAAGGAAGATAGGGGAAGGATGGAAGGGAAGGAAGGATGGAAGGAAGGAAGGAAGGAAGATATGAGGGGAAGGAAGGAAGGAAGGGAGATAGGGGAAGGATGGAAGGAAAAGTGGGGAGGGGAAGGAAGGAAAAGCGGGAATAGGAGAAAGAAGGAAGGAAAAAGGGAAAGAAGGAATGGAGGGGAGGAAGGAAGGCCATTCATACATTTAATATTTTACAGTTGCTAACGTTTAAATGGGGAGGGACAGAGGGATAAATGGAAGGGGAGGAAAGGGAAGGGAGAGAGGGAGGAAGGAAGGAAAAGCAGGAGGAGGAGAAGGAAGAAAGGAAAAAAGTGAGGAAAGAAGGAATGGAGGGGAGGAAGGAAGAAAGGCCATTCATACATTTATTACTTTACAGTTGCTAACATTTAAATGGGGAAGGATGGAGGGATAAATGGAAGGGGGGGAGGAAAGGGAAGGGAGAGAGAGGAAGGAAGGAAGGATAAATGGAGAGAAGGAAGGGAGAGAGGGGAAGGAAAGGAAAAAAAACAGTCACTAAGCAAACTGTTGTAAGCTGAGGACTAACTGTATTAGCTATTTTACCTTTTTTGTAGAACAACAGATATGTCAGATTTTCAAACCCTTTGCTATCTAGAGGTGTTGGGAATCCCAGAATTCCCAGGTCGCTGGGACGTCTGGGAAGGTTGGGGTCCCGACACATCTGGAGGGGCCTGGTCTGCAGCAACATGAACCCCAGAGGTGCCCCCAGGTATCCACTTTGAACCTCATTCTCAAGG